TGCGGTTTTCAAACTTCATAGGAATCATGAAGAACAAATAAAATGTGAACTGGAGGTCAAATAACAGCAAAAAAGTCTTTGTTACGATACTAGTTGATTTGCAATTAATAAGAGACCCCCTATGGAGCATTAGAAACCGATGCCTATAGACTAGGGAATGAGTTCAAAATCTGTAGTGTTACGAGCACCTAAAGTTAAACCATTCAGCTAAGGAAGTATCACAAATTATTAAGCTCGTTGAATGGTGGTTGTTGGTGCGCCATTATATTGAGTAAGGACCGTAAACAACCGCAGACAGATATTGTCGCTTCTTATCGAAGTATACTGGCGTATCGGAGGATACTAATATCGCTAGATCTCAGGTAATAATTATACCCTAGAAAACATTCTTTCGCACAAAACCACTGAGATTTCGTATTAAGATAAAAATGTACCACAACGTACACTAGTTAATCTTATTAACACAGTATTTGTTTTAAATACTGGAATCTTTTTAACACGAGAGTCCAAGGAAATGAATCATTAGTATTGTGTGTAAAGTAGTCACAGTTTAACAAAAAACAAACAAACAAACAAAAAAACAACAAAGAATAGTCAATCAATTTAAATACGTCGGGGTAGGTTAAACAGTAGAGATAGCGTCGTATCACATGGAAATGGACACAGTATGTATTTTTGTTCGCTATATAGTGCATACAGATTCCAGAGGACTTCGTACGTGCCGAAATTGTTAATTTACAGGAGTTTGCTAATCAGCGCGACATACTATTGATGTTTATTTATGTACTCTAGAAAATATGATGGTAATGGGCATAATAACGAAAGAAAAACAGCCCCAAGCGATTGACAAGAAAGAAAATAATTAATTATATAGTTAATATAGGCCCTGAAGATTTTAAACTATCTGTGGTTAGCGACACTGTTATTAAAATGATCAGTTGCTAAAAAATTAAGATTTTTTATATTCCGGAACCACGTGTGAGTTTATATATTGTTTTGCGCGTTTTAGGATAAGACATCGGCGATAGAAATGAAATATAAACTTGTGGATTAAGATTAAATTTCAAGAATAGAAGAGAATGATTTGTAATGGTTGGGTGGGCGCGGATGTGCCCCCCTGCTCGCGTCTACTGGATTCAGAACAAATTCCGCAACCCTTCGTAACAATCAGAAATCAACGTTGCATCACATGTTGAATGTGGAGACATTATTTAAGAGAACCGTTCGCAGATGTTGATCTTTAAATCGATATTTGAATTCGTAAGCAATTTCAGCGCTATGTTTTCTGTTAGAAAAGAGTATCGCATCGAGAGTTTCGTGATCATCTTCTGCCGTCCCAAGAGGGTCTATTCCATGTACTCGTCACTACACTAGTTGAACATTACATTGTATTTTTTGAAATATTTTCTCATTTATATATTTCTTTGTCATCGAAATGATCTTATACTTCGAGGGCCATAAATGATAAATGCGAGGTTAATTATGTTACCCTCGTAAAATGAAGATTTATATAAAATGAATAAAATAAAAAACAAGTGAAATCAGAATAGAAATGTAAAAGAAGTTCTTCTCGAATGATCCAAGATAGGACGCAGTAAGGGGTATAACAAGATACGTCTGCAGATCGAGTGATTTAAATAAGATAGAATTTAAAAAATCAAACCTACTGATAATCCACCAAAAAATGAATGTAATTTTTTTTTAAATTATGGCTTTCAACTGTTGGGTAACCGTTCTATCGAGCATTCTATTAGGCGAGCGTCATTTCATTTCTTCGTTTTAACATTCTAAATCCTATTGGTTTAATATAAAATAATTTATGACGTCATCTATTATGAAGTAAAATTAGCGATTTGGTTGTTTGGTAAAAAACCAAGGTGCAATTATTTTTGTACCATCAACTCGAAAATACCTGAGAATTATGACAATTTGGTCGACTCATTCATTTTTCACTGCTACTTTTTGAAGTATTGTGATCAGACCATGTTAAGATAAGCATTTGACGCTGAAATTTAACTCTACGCATGCTCAAAGTCCATATGCAAATTAGTCAAAAACATCTTCATACTATTGTAAAAATAAGTCAATTTGACGCTCAAACATGCCTGACAAAATGCCAAAACTTAGTGTCCATGCTTGAAACTTAAGGCTAATTCTTTCATGATGTCTTTATTAATAAAGGTTCTTGGTCTCTCAAAAACCGTTCTGAAAGGCACGCATGCGCAATGTTTTGTCTTGTATCACAAATGTATATCTTTTAATGTTGCTAGAGTGGGTTTTATCAACACGTGAAGCAGATATCATTTGTTAGAGTATAGTAGTGAAATGACAACAGAAGAAAACAATGTAATTAGGGTCTACTTATTTGCATTAGGCTATTGTAGTATTTACGTACAGTAACTAATATTAGTACAGTGCTTTCCTATGGTTATTAGGACTTTATTTTAACCTCTTAAGTGGACATTTTTGGCTCTTCATTCTAGATGTCTTTCAACATTCCAAAAGCTAGTTAAAGAGTTGGCTGATTCAGAAAAACTAAGGGGTTATATTCAAATATGTTAAATATAATTTCTGCGCTCTCTGGCGGATAAATTAATTTTTAAAAAAGATTGGGTATCAATGGAAGAGGAAAACATTCAGTTGACTTAGTTATTGTTATTTTCTAAGTTTTTTCTATAAATATCGTCAATATTAGTTACTAAGAAAAGAAAGAAAGAATACTCAAATGATGACATGTTGTTCGGGAAAAAATGAACTTCATCTATTACAAACGAAAAGAGAAAAGATAATACTTAAGAGAAATGACACGTAATCCCAAATAGGGATGAATATAAACTATTTGTTAGCAAGAAAATAAAGAAATTATACTCGAGAGAATGCCTCATGGCTTGTGATATAGAAAGACATTAGCCCAGTTAGAAAGGATGTACTCTGATCCACAAATAATTAATTGGCAAAGGATTTATGGTAAAAAGAAATGTGTGAAGGATGTGGACATCAAGAGTCATTATTGGATTATCCTACCCGCCAGAGCCAATCAGAACCCAGTAAATCTCTCCTTGGATATCACAACTGTTAATTGCTTTATCGTTAGTGTATCACTCTGCTATATATAGATTTTCGAGTTTGTTCTGTAAGCGTAGTACATATTTGAAGGCTAAGCGTATTTGTTATTTTGTCTGTTTCGTTTCGTGATAGCCGGCTAGCAAGGTTAACGTATCTTCAACACAAACCGTGCTGGAATTACATTACCGTTTACTTTACCAGACAAGAGATAAGAGATAAAACTGTTCTCATCAGCAGTTAGATTTTAAAGATATCAAGATAGCAACAGCAAGCGGCCCTGTTTAGTAAAAATTCTAATTGTTCTGTCCCATTGTTCTAAACAAAAGAAAAAAACAGTTATTCTTATTAAAAGTAAGATATTAACTATATCAAGACAACAATAGTAAGCGGTCCAGTTTGGTAAAAATTCTTCTGTCCAATTTGTTCTAAGCAAGGGAAATGAGCAGTCCATTGTTTGCAACAGTGGTTCCCCTAGTTCGCAGGAGTAGGCATTTAGGATAACTTTTGAATACAGAATTTGAGTGAAATACGAACGGGATTTCATTATGGTCGTCGTAACGATGAACGTTTTATGGTCACGTTTTCAACCAATTGAATTTTATTCAAAGCAAATAAGGAAAATATAATTAATCTAAGTGATTGATAGTAAAATTAAAACTCTTAAAAGGTCGTTAAAAGGGATGGTCGTTAAAAGAGATGGTCAATGGAGATACGGTTCTAGTTCTGATACTATTGGACGGCGTGATTATACAATACGAGACCCATTTAACTTGCTTCATTCTTGTCGTATTAATATCCAGAGCACTCAGAGAGAGGCATTGATTTTTTTGGTTCTTTGCCTTGAATGAAGGGAATATGTGAGCAAGGTTAATACAGCTGATCGGGGAGTTTAGTACGAAGTCGAGAACAGTATTGAAGTAAGTTAAATGGATTTTTAAGTGCTTTGTCGTACAGTTCTTCGCTTTTCTATCAACCTATCATGATACACGACTAAAACAGTTTCAAGAAAAGATAGGACATCCTATTTTTAGGAAAGTCTTTTTGGAATTCATTGGATTGGGATGAAACACTAGTTTAAGAGGAGATTATGGCTTTAGTTATATATTCTTTTCCCCCAGAGCTTTTTAAAAACCTTCCTCGATTTAAAGCTAACTGTTAATGTTACTTATAAAACGGATCCGTGGAAGCATGAAGAAATTTGAAGCGTGCAAGTAACTAGTGGGAGTCAAGTATACAAGACCCATGCCTATCGTTCATTTGCAGTAATTACACACAAAAAACTCAAGGTCTCACAACTAATCATATAGATGGCCTGTTTTATGGGCGCCATGTTGTGAGGCAAACGATAGGAATTTTCTTATCTAGGAAATGAAATCTCTTGTAAAAACATTGCACGCTCATGCCCCGACTGCCACGAAACCTCTCAGACTTTAGGTTCTTTAAGAATAATCCAGTTTATAGTTCTCTGTTGCTCAGGGTTAGCCGCGGCTTTGTGTAGAATATTGATGTGTTCCAGTGAAGGTCCATGAAATTTTAAATTGTTTTTGTTGAAGTTGTGCATTCTTTACTTTACCGTTGGTATTTATACACTGATACGAAGCTAACCCTGAGTAAATGAGTCTATAATCTAGGATCACAGCGGTAAATTAGAACTCGATAAAGGTGTATTCCAGCGAACTGTCCTAGGCTTGAGTCACGTGACCTGCACCATATGGACGGCAAATGTTCAAACGCTTTCGGCTTTTAAGCGCACATTAAATCCCATAAAAGTCACCTTCGGGTTTTCTTATCAGTACAGCAAGCCGTAATTCCTATCGTTAAGGTTACTTTCAATTACTTTGAAATTTCTCATTTACCACCAAGAGAGCGGAAAACGGTCACGTGACCTAAGAATGGCAGCACGTCTGATCTACTTTTTACAATTTGTTTTACAGATTAAAGAGTGAATCAGCACATTTAGCGTAGAGCAGGAACGATGAATTCTACGAATCTAACTTTGAACGCTACTCCAAATGGAACAATGCCTGCTCCGTTACCATCGCTTGCTCAAAGAGTCATCTCGGCCATCGCAATATCGGCCTTGATAATACTATCGATATCGGGCAACGCCCTGGTCATAGCGTCTTTCTACTTCTACAAGAAGATAAGACGTAGTGTGACAAACTGTTTTATAGTCTCACTGGCCGTCAGCGACCTAATGGTCGCGTTCCTATCCGAACCATTCTGGCTGTCCTACGAGATAGATCACTGGAATTCTTTACCCAAGAATTGGAATGCTAAGACATTCTCCATGTTCTGGGTGATTTTAGATATAACATGTGCAGTCGCGTCTATCGTTAATTTAATGTTCATCTCAATCGATCGGTACTTCGCCATTAAGAGTCCGTTATCACACCACACCAAAATGACCCCAGAGACGTCGATATGGATTATCCTGGCTCTATGGATCTATTCGATAGGGGCAGGGTGTCTGTTCTTACTGGGATGGTACTGGAAGTTCCTCATGATATTTATTATCGGCTTCTTGGTGCCATTGATTATAATGGTTTTTTGTTACGTAGGAATCATGGTCGTCATCTCTTCCAAAGCCAGACTTTCCAACCAGGTGGGCACAACCCGACTGGACAAAGAATTCAAGACGGCCAAAAGCTTGGGGGTGGTGACTGGGTCTTTTGTCCTCTGCTGGCTACCGTTCTTTATGTTGTCGCTAGTGTACAGGTATTGTATACCTTGCGTAGGTGACATCGAGAGACTCCCTGCCCTCACATCAGCCGTCAAGTGGTTACACTACCTCAACAGTTGCCTCAATCCTATCATATACGCATTTTTGAATCCTACCTTCAAAGTCGCCTTCAGGAGTCTGTTTCGTAAATTCTGTACGAATCCGAACAACTTCCATGACGACATGACGGTCTCTGCTTCGTTCTTTCAATCTGCAAACATCAAGAGAAATCGCAGCACCTCACATCGGAATGGCCAAGTTGGAAATGGTGTGTTAAAGTCCAAGGGCAAGAAAGGATTTTTTTTTCGTCGGAAACACACCCTAGATGAGTCTTTACAGGATTCCAGCTCTGAAAATGTCAACAAAAAGGTCAACGAGAACACATACATCGAAAAAGCCGATGTTTTGACACCTTGTGCAACAGAATCGAATATTAAAGAACCACTTTGCTACAGCCCAAGGGACAGCCAACCCCCTACAGAAGACAACGCACGGCAAGAACGTCATGTTCATTATGCCGACGACTTCAAGCCGATCGAAACAGTTCCTCGACCATTGGAGAACGTAGATTGTAACTCGATTCTGAGCGACTCAAATAATTCAGAGAACAGTGAAAAAGAGAGTAAGGAAACAAAGGATCCATCTCCAAACGGTTACAGGCTGTTGAGTAAAAGAAAGAATTCTACGGATGAACTAGACCACCATTTAAGCACCTTGACGGATACGACTGAAATTTGTACATACCATGATCAAGAAAGCGATCAATTTTACTTTTACGTTGACGGGGAACTCATAGCGGACAAAGATATCAAGACCTCCAATGTTTAATCGAAATCCCCTGCGGAATTGGGCGAACCTGCAATTCGCGAGGACAAAATTAATGGTCGTACTACTGGGAACATTTGTCCACCAAGGCATATAGAATTCGAACGTTTGATCATGGCACAAATCGAAGCTTTGAACATAGTCCTGTTATCATGACAATGAAATATAAAGTCAAATCAAAACATCAAAAACGAGAGTCGGTGCCAAAAAGATCTACTTTGTCTGCCGCTCAGACTTACAGAATAGATGAGTGTGATGCGGGTACCATGGTTTGACACGTGACCATATCTGGTATGTGACGTCAAGGATTCATTCATCACGTGACCAATGTAATGTGCAGTATCAAGTTATTCAAATGCAACAGCTTCAACGTATAAGATACAGCACTCATCTATAAGGGGAAAACAAAGATTATAAAAACCCGGAGGTAAATTTCGTACAAGTGAAAGAAAACACATAGCTTTGTGGCCTGAACCAATCAAAATGCACGAAATGGCAAGCGGACCAATCACAGTGCTTGTATACATTATAGCACAGCACGTTCCGGCATGATTTTACAAATTAGCCATTCCGAGGTTGAGCGAAAAAAACTGGGTCGAGTTGGCTTTGCAGTGCATTGTGGGACTGTTTGAGGAACATTTTCAAGATAGCGTTTATTTCATCCCACAATGCACTGCAATGCCAATTTGACCCAATTTTTACCTCAAACTAAGAATAGTTAATACAAATCGTGCTATGATAATATCCATATTATTGACGCATATATTTATAGTCCCCAAGGACAAAGTTATTCTCATCGTTGTTTAATGTCTTAACGTATTTCTCGATTGCCAGGCAGTAGAGATAATAAGTAATAGCAAAAGTTAATATAGACAGAATGTACTGGTCAAGTTTTCTGTAAAGTTATCACTCATATTTGGGCAACAAATGGCAATTCAGTTGCAACCTATCGCGGGATTTTGAGAAGTCTTTTCATACGGATTCTTCTTAAGGCTGCGCCGCCCAGATTTCCCGCCGCGCCCGTCGCTTTAGATATCTAGTTGATCATTACCACAGTGCGTAATCAAAGTAGTTGAATCCTGTGCTGCCTAGGTGTTTGCAACCACAAGGTTCTTCTTACCTTAATGCAAACAATGGCCTGCAAGCTTGAGCATTACTAAAGATTAAATATTAGGACTTAAACATTGCTAAACAGTGTAAAAATCATCAGGCGTTTAACGTTCGCGCGATATCCAAACTATTACAGCTGTACGTATGAATTCTTGCTTCAGTAATTTCTGTAAAGTTGGAAGCTATTCGGCGTATTTCTCGAGAGGATTAGCATAATATCATCAAGATCGTCATTATGACAGTCATGACAAATCATTCGCCTTTGCCACAGTCCTTATGACGTAACCATGTCTTGCCATGACGTATAACGAAATGTAGCACAAAACCATGCTAAGAAGTATGTCATCCTAGAACACACACATAACGTGCATTCATAACTCATGACGAATTTGACATACTCTAATTAGGTACACGACCTACTTCCGCCTTGTGCAATGACTTACACACGTGCCACAACATATACATGACGTAACTGACATGACGTTTCATGTCACACATATGACGTGTTTTTCGAGTTCCAAATTGCCGCTGTTTTTCTTGATTACTGGCTCACTTACTCAGGCTTAGCCTAGTATCAGTGTCTAAATATCACAAATACCAACGGTAAAGGAATGAATGCATAGCTTCAAAAATACAAACACTTTGAAATTCCACGGACCTTCACTAGAACACATGAACATTCTGCATAAAGTCGAGGACAACCCTGAGCAACCGAGAACTCGAAACTCATACGTCATAACTTACTATGATGTCATTATGCTGGCTCTAGTCTAATCCTACGCTAATGGCTTTCAAATACTAAATACTTGATATTATATAAATAAATTTGTAAGAAACTGGGTTTTAAGGAAATTAAGAATATATCTACTTGATTAGTTCAGATTAGCAATAGAGAATGCGAAGCTGATCAACTCTTTGGTCATCTTGGTAATCAACTGAAATAAAAGCGCTAGACAAGTATGCCATGTAATCTTTGAATGCYGCAAATATTACGTACTCTATACGAGATTGCAACCAATGCGTCACTTGTTTATGAAGGTCTAAAGCGCTAACTGAACCACTACGATTAAGATCAAGTAGAGAAAACTGACTTTTATCAAGGCTACTAAGATAATATTATGCATTTATAGCAACGCGTTTGGAAATGGGGAAAGTTCTATAATTTAAGAGTTCTGCAATATCGGCCGTCTTTGTGTTGAATATGAAAAGGAAGAGAAAAAGAAAGGAAGGTAGGAATGAACGAAAAAAAGTACAAAAGAAGGAAGGAAGGAGGAGAGAAAGAAAGAGAAGAATATGAAAATGAAAATGAATATGAAAAGGAAGAGAAAAAGAAAAAGAAAGGAAGGAAGGTAGGAATGAACGAAAAAAAGTAAAAAAGAAGGAATGAAGGAGTGAAGAAAGAAAGAAAGAAAGAAAGAGAAAGACGGAGAAAGGGTACGAAATGAAGGGAGATGGAAAATGAGAGATGGAGAGATGGGAAAAAGGAAGTTAACGTGCCTTTATTGCAATCAGTGAAATGTTCTCCAACCAACTCGTTTCTTAAGTGTGTTCATTGCATTCTTTCTACTTTTGGTTTCACGTACAGATTTAGACTAGATTAATTAAGGACGTGAAATTGGTCTTATTAATCACTTTATATAGTTTAAAAAGATTATTAAATTATTGGTATTGATGGCTTATATGTATCTACTCTGAATGGATAAAAGTAAAATGCTCACAGTATTTGGTAATTTAACATTTATAACGCTTTGGGAACCCTGTGGTGAATATTCCTTAGGCAAGGTATCAACCAAGAGGGACGAAAAGCTCGATACCATGCAGACAGCCCAACCTACTCAGACCACCATATTGGAGGACATAATAAAAGAAGCAATTCAAAAACGTTTGCTTCCAACATGGCGGTTATGACGTCATCTGCACCCTCAAAAATACACCGTTCACGCAACATAAATTCACTACATTAAAAATATACTAAAATATTATGTTTATCTGTTTATTCATTGTACGTTTATTCATTCATAATTAGAAGATCTCTTGAATATGTTATATTCTCTATGTGGTTTATTCGAATAAATATTTTCTTTGAGGTCCTGGCTCACGATCCCACCCCACCTCTACCAATGACAATAGCATAGCTCAAGCTCACACAAGGACAGTGTAAGACTAGGTATACAGTATCAGTATAAGATAGCATAGACTGTATATTATCAATGAGCATCCAATGGATACGATTTAGATAACCATTCTATATATTATAGCTGAATGACCCTCGTATTTTAAAACTACATCTATTTAGATACGTAGGCCACCTAAAGGAACTCCTAGTAAAGTAAATCGTGATTTGATCCAAAAAAAAGAGTAGAAAAACTGCCGATATTAAAAGTGTAATACAAATGAAGACGGATCATCGAACTGCTAGACACTTCACTTAAGTTCTTTTTAGATTTAGTTCTCTAGATTTTTAGAGCTGAAAAAGCAAAAATCACTGATTTATGATTCTCATTTAACCTGTCGAAGACGGTGTATAGTAGCAAATAATCAGCAAACGAATCAAAAAGGAAACCAGACTGGATCCTCGATCAGGATTTCTTATATACACTATCATACATGGGAAATGGGATAAATGCAAGGAAAAAATAGTGGGAAAAGGATGGGAAACTGCAAAGTGATCTGATATGGTATTTGCATATAAAATACATCTCTCTCCTTTAGCTCTCACGGGTGTTAGTCGATCTTTAATGTACTGGCATAGTCTTCTTGTTTCTTTTTACGATATTCCGGTTTGACGCTCGTTCTTTTAAGTTGTCCATCCCTAAGTTGACAACAGATATTAGTGAAAGGGCGCTAAGGTCAAGAGGTTATGACGATGGTGACATTAATGATGATATGATGTGTCTATTGAAGGCAACGGTGATGATGAATCTAATGATGATTATTGATGATGAGTCTAATAAGATGATGAATCCTAAGATAATGATGTGTCTATTGAGGGCAACGGTGATGATGAATCTATTGAAGATGATGATTATTGATGATGAGTCTAATAAGATGATGAATCCTAAGATAATGATGTGTCTATTGAGGACAATGATGATGATGAATCTAATGAGGATGATGAGAGTGATGACTACTGATGATGAGTCTAGTAATGATGATCGCGATGACTATAGATAATGACATCAATGAGTCAACAGTGCTATGGTCAAGAGGAAGTTTTGACGAGGGTAATGGTGATAATGAATCTAATGAAGATGATGATTATGATGACGAGAACAGTGATGATAACATTGATGTTGAGTGTATTGAAGACGACGACGATGATGATAGCAGGTAGTGACGATGGTCTAGTATGGGACCATAATAAAGATGCTCATAACTCAGTTATTATCTCTGGAAGTTATGGTAGAATAAAACAGAAAAGACATCTACAGTAAGGTATGGTTGTGCATCGTTATTTCACCTGAGAAAGTTCATTTTCTTTAACATTGGTGCGTTGTCATGAAAAGCCGCATTAAAAGATTTAACATTAAAGGTGATTTTTATTATGTAAGTGTTATTGTTAACTCAGTAGTCTTGTTGATCATAACTTGTAGCTTTAAAACGGCTAGGTTTATGGTATTAATTTAGGAGTGTAACTTTGTTAAAGCAAATCAGCTCAGAGCCGAAAAAAAATTAGGGCAAGCCAACTAAGCAAGTTAGCTTACTCCCATTATTTTCGTTTTCGTTTTCTTGAAGAAAACGAGTTTGTTTTTAGCAATTAATTGTAAAAATTATAATTTTTCTTATACATTGCATGTATTTCTTACAAATCCAAAATGACAATGATAATGATAATGACAAGTATAAGTGAATGTATCATGTACTTACCATATCAGGTCCACTAGCCCACCTCTAAATGCTATTTCACCCTTAACACGATTAGCAAACTGTATTGGCGTTTCACCTTCCTGTAACAGATTAGAAGTACTGTATATCAAATGATATTCTAATAAAACTGATAACGATGATGATTATTATGCTGTTGGTGGTGTTGATGATGATGATGATGATGATGATGATGACTGCAATGGCCTATATTCCTCCTCCCCCCTCCTATTACTCTGCACCAAGGCAACTTCTCACATAATCGAACACTGTCAGTCTCTTGTACTACTATTTAAATGAAGGCTCAACCTACTAGCCAGGGCTGAAAGTCAGGCATTCATTCTGGTTAAACCTGCGAAGACTTTGATAATCGCAGACCATTTTTAATAGGCTAATTGTCACCCACACCATCCCAGAAATGAGACCAATATGTTTGTACTTTGAATCAAAGTACCAGATATCAGACGATTGCCCAACTTTTCAATAGGCCTATTATGTCACCCAAACCACCCCAGGATCCTTTGCAACACTAACCTGTATGACCATTGGATCCAAGTACCAGACGTCACAGACGATTGCCCAACTTGTCAATAAACTGAACAAATACTGACCAAAGCTTTCAGAACTTGAATTCCAGAATGCATCAGCAAATGTGGGATCGTACTGAAAGAAATAAAATTTCTGGTGTTAAATTTTGCATTAGGTACATATGTGCCATCTGGAGTCAAAGACTATGATTCTCTGGCTGGATTGGAGTACGCAAAGGTATCGCACACTGATTCATTTACTGTGATTGTACCGTGCCCTCTTTTTTAAGGGTCACACAAAATCCCTATTTTATCTATGGTCGAATACATTCTAACTTGTATCACCTTGTAAAGCCTTGGTACACAAAGAATCGAATTAAGTAGAAGGATTTAAATAGCCCACTTCTGAGATATGCTTTGCTYGTCAGGCACAAAGGTTTCATTATGAGGCTACGTGCTAAATGCTCAGTCATTTGTGACAGGCGGTAAGCATATTTTAAATTTAGCACTTAGCCTTTATACTGAAACCTTTGTGCGTGACAATCAAAGCATATCTCAGAGGTGGGCTATTGCTATAGTTCCTTCCCCCTCCCCTCAGGCTCACCATCTGAAGTGAAGAAACTGTATTCTGAGGTACTATGTGATAAATAAGCTGGTGGTCTTACCTTTATAGCTACAGGGTATATTACACCTCCTATTTCAAAACTTCCTTTTTTGAACATCATGACCGAAGTATTGTTAATACAAGTACCTGAAAAACATGATCATGCATGGGTTAGGTTATTACTACAGCTGTATATACACCTAATTCAAAAAACGTTATCATTGCCAAAGGCAATAGGTCATTCYGACATGGAATTGGTTTTGTTGAATACAAAGAACATTGAATCAACTTCAGCAGGAAGGTCCATGTTGTTGACGAGAATAAGAAGCAGAAACACAAGTCATTCCAGCTATTCTTGGATCTTGGAATGACATATATCCAATAGCTTTTYGCCTATTGCCTATTGCCTATCGCCTTTGGCGATGACAAAAAATTTTTGAATTAGGTGTATGTATACAGTACACTGAATCAAAATATGGCAACCAATTTGAATAACTATTGTTCTGCACTGACTAGCGACTGACTATCCTCTCTTACATATGAAAATGCTTTTGTGTTTCCATGTGAACACGAGGCCAGTCAGTCGCTAGTCAGTGCAGAACAACAGTTATTCAAATTGGTCATCATATTTCAATTCGGTGTACTGTATGATGTTTTATGAAATGTATGTACAAGTCATGTACATGTAGAAATGTTTAGGAAACGGTGCTGGCAGTGCAGGAGAATTAATAACAAATGTTTATCAACATGCTGTATACATGTCCATACCTTCAGGAAAAATTAACATGGGGTTTTTGCTGGGATCCTCAACATGTTCTCGCAGTCTGTCATAATGAGAAAATGAACCTGTGTTACCACATAAGGTATGCCTACCATTGCAACCACATGTTATAAACAATCATAACCATCACCACGGCCCACCAAGAACATCCACCATCAACTACATGTACATTACCTTCACCATCATTATAACCCTCATTATCACCATTATAGTGCTACAGCCACCCACTACCATCCATCATTATAACCATCTACATTTACATCAACACAACCTCCTGAGACTGTTCATTACCAACCACGTCACCATTATCATAACAACATCAGCACCATCACCACAGCCCCAAAAATTATTCATCATCAACTACATCACTATCACCATCATTATAACCATCAAAATTATCATCATCATCATCATCACCATCATCATCATCCCCACCATCATCACCACCACCACCATCATCATTATCATCATCACCATCAACATTACCACCAACATCACCACCATCATCATCATCATCATCATCAACACCATCAACATCACCACCATCATCACCACAAACCTATCATCATACAAGAGCTTTACCAATAAAATCATCTGATCGCCATAACTTCTATAATCAGACATACTGTATTACATACTGCTAGGTCATAATTACCTCTTTGTGACTATCAATCTGTCTTTCATCTCGAATCTTTCAAACCAAATATGATCCTGTGATCTTGCTAACACCTTCTGGATGAAGCCAAAAAGACCAGGCTGACGCTGTCCCACCTTCAACAGGTACGGTAAACCAGTTTTAATAATTAAACACTTACAGCATTAAAAGTTTAGCGTTGGACTGACAACTGGCCAACATACCATAGAATAGCAGTTATCACATGCCAGGATCAATACATCGATAGGTGAGGTGTGGTTTGCAACACATATGCCTCCTCCCTTGGCCATATTTTCACTGATATATAACAAGATAAATACAAATGATATACTGCATTAGAAATGTTATTCCTGAAGTTGAAAAAAGTAAGAAACTTGTTTTATTTCTTGTGCAAAAACGTTATTCTTAGAGTGCAACCAAATGACCCAAAATCCCATGAGATATAAATAACAATGAAAAGCCAATCTTGCAGAATTTGATTATCTAATGGAGGTTTTGCACCATCACGTGACAGCAGCCATGACAGGGGGCAGGAACAATACAATCATTTTACATGAAAAAGAATTCAATTCCCGTGAGCAAAGGGATTTTATCGTTCCGCCATCTAACCACATTCAGTCCAAGCTCTATTATGGGTGCAAGCATGTGATGGTGCAAAACCTCTATTCTAGACTAATAAACCTGTTCAAAAATTCTTTGGTCTGGCCTTGTACTGTATACAGTACCAGCTGAGCAGAGAATTTTGCTTTGGCCAATCACAGCGCGTTTAGCTGTTTTTCTACTGTAACCCAGTTTTTGCATATTTTTCTGTTTTCTTTTGAGTAAAATATAATACGTGCCTACRAGAAACAGAAATATGGAAAGGAAGAATAAAAACAATTTCACTTTACTGCCATTTACTTTGTTCTTTCAAGCCCCAAAAATGCTTAGGGCCGGTCATTTTGTCCGCTCATGCTTTGTGTGCGGCGTTCACTGCTCAGCTGGTAAGTACTTTACAACAACTTACGTATTATGTGAAGTAACAACAGCAGACAGGGCTCTTCCTAATATTCTAAATGATGCCAGCATACATATTCTATCCAGCTTCTTTCTAAAACTAGACAAAGAGAGATATTGCACTGTGACATACAGCTTGTGAATAATGTTTTCCCTTTTCAAACTATATGTCATTCCCTTGAGAATAATATTCTTTGTCTTGTAGTATCCATATTTAGGTGTCTTCTTATGTACAACTGCTCTTGTTTTTTTAGGAGGGTAATACTTATTATCCAGTGGCAAACAAACTTGTGGGCCTGTTTGTATAAAGCCTGGATAGCGCTATCCAACGGATAAATCTTTTCAAGTGGATAAATTTATTGGATAACAGCATCAACTTTTCCACTGGATAAGGATTTATTCACCGGAAAGCACTGTCCAGGCTTCCCACAACTGGGCCATGGCCTTTAGTACCATGGCCTTTAGATACCCATTAATTGGAATTTAGGAGTTGATTTTTGTGGAGGGAGGAAAACCAGAGAACCAGGAGAAAAACCCCTTGAACAGAAGAGAATCAACTAGAAACTCTACTCAATATCGAACACGGCAGGATTCAAACCCAGGTTGCACTGATGCTTCCCAAAAAGAAAGAGATGATGATCTAAGGAATGACATATACAGTAGTTTGAAATGATACAAGGCCACACAAGAAAACCAGTCATCCAGCTGCAGACATACCTTGATTCAGGAAGCTGTGATATAACAGCTGTGCTCAAAGTTAATAATCCAAAACCATATATCACTAGAGTAAGTCTGTAAAACATACAAAATAGGAAAAATAGTTGGACAGAGAATTATTAGGAATGAACAACAAAATGTTACAACAGCCAGCCATGTTTGTGTATAGCTAACTAAACAGATAAATAATTTCTTGTTGGCTTCAATAGTCCTGTTCACAGTTCCAGGCTCCATCTTGTAAGGTAGCCATGCCTTCGCATCAAAGTGAGAGGAATGGCGAGCTTGCAATGATATAGACCTTTGAATAATTGCTCAAGGTGTTAAAAAAGGCATGGCTACCTTTCAAGCCCGGGGGGGGTACTCYGCTATATTCGCTATATGGGTAGGTGCCACCAAACAGGCTATGGTTTTCAGCGTTTCTACTGTGGAACAGGCTATATAARATCRCGCTCGCTCTGAAACAGGGTATACGAAATCACGCTCTCTCCTCTCTGAATCAGGGTTTTCAGCGAACTTGCTCTGGAACAGGGTATGAGTTTCAGCGATTTTTACTCTGGAACAGGGTCAGGCTGCAGAGGGCTCAGCGGCACATCCATACCCTAAAAGGGCAAGAGTACCCCTCGGGCTTTCAAGATGGCACAAAGAACTGTGAAGGGGACTACTATTAAAGAAATAAACAAACATGGCTGCCATGCCTTTCTGATTACATTGTATTTCCCTACTGGAACCGTAGAGAACCTAATGAAAAATATATATAGTATGTTGGAGCAAATTTGGTATTCTACTTTTAGAAGTATGGTTAAAGTTTGCACCATCACACAGTGTCAGAAATGTTAGATAGCACAAACAACAAAAATATTTTACATGAGAAAGAATTAAATTTCCTAGAGTTCTATCCTCAACATGGCTTCCGGTATGTGATCACGCAAAACCTCTATTAATGGTTTATGAAAGATAAACAGTTCAGATAAGCTCCACCCTTAAACCACAAATTTCTCGAGCCTCCAAATCTGGATGGGTGGCCTAACCATGATCGTCCCTTTATCTAAGGGTGTCTCAGCATCAATCTATCTTCACTAGCAATCAAATATAAGTGTATAAACACATGTGCAAGTACAGACACAGCTACCACTTTAAGGTTGGCAAAATGTTTTGTTCTACCCAAATGTATAGGGGTAAACTAACAAAGAAAGACTATCTGTGCTAAGGTTTACATGTATGCTAACCTTGCATTACTAGTGAATTAATTGTACTTTTTTTTCTGTTCCAGTACCCTAAAAATTATGCATTTGAATTGATTTTTGGAGCAGGCAATATTATATATTTGACTCTGGTCTGGTATCCTGGCTGCTTGTGTCATCCATATGCTCGCACATGGGATAATAGAATTGCAAAAGAAGAAGAAAAGTAAATGGGAAAAAAATTTTTTTCACCAGCCAGAAGGTTTGAATGGGGAAAAACTGTGCCCTCAGCCTTAACCTTGGGCAAAGTTTTTTGCTATCTGCACTTCTGGGTACATAAATTACGTAATCTCTATACCTATGTATACTGACCTCAATGGCAATAAGATACAGTATCTGACAAAGAATCCAAGAACCCAAATTATAGAAAGCTTTGAACTGAAAAAGGAATTGTTTTAGAAAAAAAGGGTTATAAATTAAAGTACAGTAGAGTAGGTTGCAAAAAGTATCATTCTTATGACAATGTGGTAATCAAAATTTCTTTCATTGTCTGGTATGCACCTTTCTCATGGGTTCTCATTTGGCAGATATTTTATTCCACTTAAATAAAATCCTCATTCTGAAGTGCCTGAATGTGAGTCTAGGCTGGGGAAAACTATTGTTTGAGGCAACATAGCTGCTGCATGCCAAAGGCTCATAAAGTTGCATTTAGGGAGCCAATACAATAAGTGTGTAGTAAGAATCATTATCATCATCATCATTATCAGCAAATAACATACCTTATATGGTGGTAATTCTTATTAGTCCTTGTTAGGAGATTCCATGATTCTAGCTCTATATAAAAAACATTATTAATTCACATAACTAATCATAATAAAATATAATTCCCTTGTAAATTTATCCAATTATGTAGACATTTTAGGATGCAGTACAGATGTAYATATATGTCAGATTGTCAGGGCAAGACAAAATAAAAAGATCATGAAAAAATGTCTACCCATATTGCATCCTATAAAATGTCTAATAAGCTGTTATTTATTAACAAATATTTTTTTTCGAGGCCAAATAGTGCAAGTACTTGACTTGTGATTCATAGAATACGAAATATTGCAGGATATTTGCACTCTTTCCAGGCTTTCTCCTCCAATATTTGTATACTCTATTGAGTATAGTTGGATTATAAAGGTAGTGTTTAATGCACTGTCACATGGGGGTGGGGGTGGGGGGTGGGACAGGGCAGAGAGGGGAGAGGAAGCAGAGAAAGAAGGAGGAGTAGATAAAGAARAGAAGGGACGTTTTCTAAAACTACTAACAATTAAGAGAAGTGCATAAGAGGACCACACACAAAGAAGATTTTACCTGCAGCAGAAAAACGCTTAGTGACTTCATCATCTATGATGGCCTGAAATTCAAACAAACCAAAATTTAAACTTAACTGACCAAGTTCTGGGTTTACAATGTGGGTTCTTGGAATTGCATATTTACTCAAGTTAGGATCAAATTAGATTAAATTAGGATCAAACATTTTTGGAGCCCAATATTTTGACAACCCATGTTTAAGTAGAGCAATTCTTTGTAATTTGAGAATCATATATAAATATAATGTGTTATTAATAGTATCTGACCTCAAAGCCACTTTTAAAGAAATCTAAAGCATCTGATAGCTGAAATTCTCTCTGAAAAGTTCCAAATGATCTATTTCTTGGTATTGGCGTATGAGGCCCAAACTTTTCGCCTTCTTTGTCAATCAACTCTGCAAAAAAAAAAATTTTGAAAAATTAAAGTTAGTGTTATCATTGGAGTTTTCTTTGCATAGAACTTGAACAAACGATGAAAGCCCAAAGAAACAAAACAATAAAAAAGAGCTTCTGAGGCTAAGTACATGCACATGTCACATGACTACACAAATATTAATGCACCACCCTTTTATTCATTCATAACAAAAACTACATTACAGTTTATAATATGTGACAACTATATTGTTTTAATAAAGAAGTGTAGGCTTATAAAAAATATTGAGGCATATTTATTGCATAAGTAAACTATTTTATAAAAATATTAGATTGCTGAGTTGAAGTGTAAAAAATCACTCAAATGCACAGAAATTAAAGTTCAATATTAAAATTCTAGGTTAAACCTCRTTGCCATATTTTCAATTCCTGTTTTCTTTTTTGAATCTTGGGTAAAGGTACATGGTCTAGCAATGCTGGGCTTAAAATAATAAGCCGCTGTTTATTCCTTTTTTTTGTTTGTATTTTTTTAGTTCCTTCCCCCCCCTCCCTCATCAGTAAAACAGAGAGTTGTTTTGGTTGGCTGGTGATGTTATGATAAAATAGGGACATTACTAGTAGCATCCAGATACTCATATTCTAATAACATTTTCTAATAACATATTCTAAAAAACAAATAAATAAATACTAAAAAACTTACCACTATGTAGCAATTGCTTTGAATCTATTTTTTTCCTTCCAAACTGAAAATATTTTAAAGACAGAGTTAATAACTTAATTTGATATTTCAACAAGAAATTAAGTGCTTACACCAGGGTGAATTTTAAAAAGGAGCAAGCAAAGGATTCATACAGTTGAATGTACATACTGAACCCAAAACTAAACTGCATTTATTTATTCAATTTTTTTTCAGTATAAATAAAATTTTTATCATCAGTTTATAGACAAATGGCCTGTATTTTAGCCATTAGTTGACATTCATTTTTAATCCTGAAATAGCAACAACAAGAATATACTTGTTTTCTGTGTTTTTGTGTGCTTATGTCATGTCATAAACCAAATTAGGCAAGAATACAAAGCAAGGTATATAACAAAAATGAAAATAGCCTGTAGAGTGTCATGTGAATGTTGATATTTTGTAAGTCCCACTGTCATCCATGATAGTACTAGATTAAATGTATTCTCCAAACAGACTAGTATTTTAGGAATATAGCATGCATACATATAATTTAATATTAAATTGAGGTATCATAATTAATTGAGGACTTTTTCACGTCTCAATTTACGCTTTCTCGAATACRAAAAAAAAAAAAAAATTTGGTCATAAATTTATCAAGAGTATTTTATCACTTTTTATCTAGTATTAGCTTTGAAACTAAAATATGAATACGAATTAATTTGAACAAAATTCTTAAATTTTTAAGGAAAATGATAAAATGGAGACTTTTTTGCAACGTGACCAACTTCTCTACAGTCGTCCACGTTTCGTCAAACACGACCACAAATTAATCATTAAAAAAGCCTGTCTTACCTCAAAAACCTTTAACAATAGCTTGATATATATATTCCTGATACCAAATGAGCCTCCAAATACTGCAGGAAGGACAATAAAGACTACAGTAAAGAGAAAATAGGCCACSCAACACAGCAAGAGAAAGAGAACAGCCATGTTGAAATCCTCTTTAGGGGATTACCTCTGACTGCAAAGGTCAACGGGCACTCGTAACTTGCAGTGCGTCATGGGAAGGGATAGAACACAGGGTAACCAACACACTTGCGTGAAAAAACGAGTATAGTATAGGTGAAATAAATATTAATTAAATTATTTAGATAMAATTAAAAAACTATGGTTTCCTTATATATTGTTCAGAACTGAATAAAAGACTAAAATATCAGGTAGAATAGAGCTTTCTTGAAAGTCAGATTCCGAGATTATGCCTTAATGTGAAATCCGAAGCTTGCGATTGGAATATAAGTTTATCAAATTATAATCCATATTGTAATGGCTTGTATATTTGTATCTTGAAAAGAAAGCAAAAGAAAACAATATATCAAAGGGAAAACGTAAAAAAGAAAGCTAAAAAAATGATAGAAAAAATAGAACAAAAGAATTTTAAACAAAAAAAAGTGGCGACCTTTAGATGCACTAAATCACCGCAGAGGAAATTCACTCAGTGCCGGTCTAAAACTGACAGAGGAAACTAAGGAGTTGTAAATAAGAACAACTAATAGACAGATCTGATCTCGCCAATAGCAGTTGGATGTAAATGAAATGGTTACATGTGACTCTCTATCACTGAGATTATTCAAGAGAAAGCGTAACATTGTCTTGCCCCGATGGAGACAGCCTTCGGCCGGTGACAGGATTGGCAGCGTTGTGGCACCCGGTGACAGGATTGGCAGCGTTGTGGCACCCGGTGACAAGGCAGTCATGTTTGTCACCGGGAATGATTCGAAAAACCAACATTTGCGTTAAATAATAGTCTTAGTAATTAGTGATAATGAGAAGTATTCACTGTTGTAGGTTTTGAAAACTTTCCGATGGGACGAAAACTTTCCGAAGTTTCAAAGATATTAAAAGTACCACAAATAAGATTTTCGTGCGTGTTTTTACATTTGCCAATGTTGCGCATTACTTTTGCGATCATAACGCACTGCTTCCGGCATCATGAGTCTGTTCTATACTTTTCTGTTCTAAATGCGTAGAAAACACTTTGCTATAAATGTAGTATGGTGCTACTTTAGAAAAGTCCTATTGATGCGCTTCACTTGCGCAATATCGTATAAAACTCCTGCACATGCAACATACATCACTAACACCGAAGCCTAATCAGACTACTGGGTTGTCCTAAATCTCGGATAAGTCAGGGAGTCAGGGCAAGGCTTACTTAAAAAATACATTGGAATCAGTTAAGAATTGCACTTTGTTGCACGTGTATTAGTATGATGACAATGATTCGTGGTCACAGTACAGTAGTAGAGCAGCAGTGTGCTGATGACGCTCACTAATAATGTCCCAAGATAAAAGTCCTTAAGATAGCATGCTGCGCTCAAGTTTGCATATTTTCAACCATTTAATGAGACGTATCAACAGAAATTAAGAGATACGCAGTACTCATCTACCTTTGCGACAAGTGATAATGACATCCTAAGAAGTCAGCTAAGAACAGGTATCTTAGCTTGCTTCGCGCGTATTTGCAATTACGTCTTAACGTGCGCATCAAATAGACAACGGATGCGCATTGATCATCCGTTCGCATAAAAACTGATTGAGGAGTTTCTTAATTTTTATTCCAGTCTGGTTATTCACACAAAGTATTACAACAATTTTAACGCTTTCCTTTTCGTGCGATCCAAGACATTCCTTGCCTTAGGCTATTTGTTGAAAAAACCCAAGCTTCTTGAATCACAAGGGTTGCGACTAAGGTGGTCGAACGCTACCCTCTTAGCCAACTCCTTGACCTTTGCGGAAAAACAGTTTAGCGCCATTTACATAAATAATACGTGGTCCAACATTGCCACGCATTGAAAAATGTGAGTGTCTTTTGAGTTTGTAAGGTACTACTCTATTTTCAGTCCTTTACACATTATTGTCATAAATATATGACGTGTTGGTTCAGTGAGGCACTCGAAATATTTTATCCTTATCGAAATTAAGTGCATGTAAATGCTTGATCAAATTAGTAGATCCTAGTCAAATGGCAATTGCCTTCTGACATAAGACCAATCATGTCGAATGCTGTGCAATGTAGTTCCAAATTTTACACGAGTCAAATCTAATAATAATGGGCTCGGATTAAAAGTTTATTTGGTTCTTAACAGATTCGTCCAAAGCTAAGATAATTTCTACAGTTTTAGCTATCATTTTAAAGTAATTTGTGTAGTATAATGTTTCGTTCAAAAGGTCCTTTCACAAATGAGCATTTTGATGTTTTGAGGTTAAGAACGGGATTGCAATTATTTTTACAACGTTCGTTTCTCTAATGCAAGTTTCAAACATAGTTAACCATGTTTCAAAGCAGGATGGAAATCAAACTTCCAATAACCAACCGAATCTTCGAACCTTGATAGGAACTGAGCTGGTTTGACTGTAAGATCTATTAGCACAGCATCTACAGACATATCCTTTACAAACTAGTTTAAACTTGAGATAGTATAAGGGTTTCGTAGCCGGTTTTCCGCTATGAATAGAGTAGAACATTTTTAATAAACTGGTCGAAGGGTATCGGATCATAAAGGATCATCTCAGACTGAGTATGCTTGATCATTTGATCATTTCTTGCTGTTTGTTGAGGTTGTGAAGCCGGCTGTATGGAACAGTCAGTCAAATAATCTGTAATTGTTCCCAGTAAAATTTACTGAACTCTGTGGTTGTGTGCTGCMAACTGCGCCACCTTCCTCGCCTCCGTGACTCTATGTGGTCTTGGGTGGATTCAATATTTCCAAATTTCAATGCGAATATGGAAAGAGGGTCACAGGAGTGTTTGCTGCAGTGCAAATAAACCTTACCCTCACAAACCAAACACAAAATACACTTCCACCACAGGAACAAACAACTGCTCGGCTATGAAATGGTCGAATAGAGCCCGTGGTCGCCGGAATCACGATAATGCAACCCCGATCATATATAGGCATGTACAGTGGAAATTTGCTTTACACATACCCATACATACCCATGCATGCACATAATACGAACACTTATTTTCGTCCCGGCTGTATGGCGCACTAGTAAGCTAACTTGACTAATATAGACACCCTTTTATTGCAGTCACTTGTTTTTTCCCGTCCAAGACTCGGGATTTTTTCTGAGTCTTTCAATTTGCAGCTGCATAAGTTGCTTCATATACTGCGAGGATCAGCTCAATTTGATACATTACAACCGCAGTACAAATACATATTTCATATATATACACATATTCATACACATATTCACTTGTTTTATCAGGGGGTAAGGCACTTTATTAGTAAGTGACCTGCTTAACATCGACACCCTTTATTACAGACACCGTTTCTCTGCGGATTTTTGTTGATTCTATAAAAAGGGTTTCCAGACTTTATAAACTCAACGGTATTTGCATGAGCTTTGAACATCTAGTAAATTGAGTCCTAATGGCATAAACAAGTGGTCGGTTTATTCCCTGGTCGAGTTACAACGAGTCAAGGTTATGCAACCTAGGACATCTGAACAAAGTCAATGAAGTCTGAGCAGTAATCACCAACTGGTAAAATTCGAATGTCGCCATATAATCCCCACACCGATGTAAGCTGAAGGATTTGAATAAAAAACTGTCGAAAGTCAAGCATTTTAAAGACTGTAATTATTGGCTATCGTCTTTCCTCACGGACAATAATGAACAAATGTAGCAGATAACCGAGATTGCGAAGATGGAAAACTCTTCTCTCGATGACGGACAACGCAAGATATTTTAGTGTGTGCAAAAACGCATCGTAATTATGAGTAAGCGATCCTGCTCGATTTCAGTTTTAATGGAATTTTTTACATTCCAGAGGTCAGTAAATAAGCTATTGGAGCAGCCCGAATGGCTCGACCGAATTACCAATGAGGAACCATAGCGGAAATACATCATTAATGTACTTTATATTACAAGTTATATCTTCTGGAATAAAGTAAATCACAGCGGAAACCAACTCAAATCGGAAAGAGATAAAAATATAAAAAATACACCAGATATTTTGCAATCACCCACTAAAAGGTTGCCGGCTTTTGGTGTTAAATGTAGAAGTCCATATTGAAAGGATTAAGAGTGTGGAGCGAGCCTGGACCTGATAGGCGCCACGCGTCAGTTTTCACGCCAAAAAAGGCAGGTCCTTTTGACATGGATGGCCGTTATTACAAACGTGAAGAAATGAAAAAAATAAAAAACCCTTGACGGTACRAGAAAAAATATTTTAAAAGGCCTCTAAAATATGAAGATCAGTGTTCTTTTTATTGTAACTTCGTATTTATTTGGCTTCAATGATTTAAAAAAATACTTAGATAACCTTAAAGTTTGTTGCGAAGTTTGACGCGAAGCTTAAATATGACGGGTTCTCTTTTTGTTTTAAAAGTTGTGTTAACATAGTTTAGCGAGGGAGTTTTCAGCTGCGATAAGACGAGATTCTTTGAAGTGGTTTCTCGTTAGCCTCTTGAAGAGGGTCACAGTATAGCTCCAGCTCTACCGCACTTATCTGACACAATAACTACGAGAAATTCCTCATTGCGACGAACTATCACGACAAAAGATTTCTCTGGAGACATCAGCCACATTTCAAATGAACCGTTCTCAAAGACTATGGACCTGAGGTATACAAAAGGCAGTTCAAAATAATCTCTTAGACGGGTTAACAAGAGACAGATGTTGTTTCGATGAACTAAAGAAGCGCAGGATATGCTTTAATTTCGTGTTATATTGCTTTGAATTGGCAATCTTCGAAGTTGTCAAAGGATAATAACATTTTGGGTCAGTGTACGCTTGGTCATCTAGTCGCACAATCGTATTCATAGCAAATGCTCTCGCTAATAGCCCCAATTCTCGTGTAATTAAAATAAAAGTCAATGTGATACGGCACGTTTAACCATGACCTTCGCCAGACAAGCCTGCTTTCTTTTTCATCCTCTCATGTAGTCTTTACCSAGCACAGTCAATGCGCTGCATCCGCTACTCCTGCGATCGATCGAAACCAAGCTATTAACTATAGTTTATCAGTCTATAAACAACAGCAAAAAGCAACATGCCACACGCGCAAGACCACATATCCTGCGGTTAAAGCAATTATGTTCGTCTCGGGAGCAGCATGTGTCTTTATTTCCTCGATAAAGTGCACGATAAGACATAATTGCTAGGTACATTTTTGGGATAATTCTTCTATCGGTGCATCTTGATTAAACGTCATCTCTCAGGTCCAAATGTCAGATCATTTGTCATCTACAGAGGGTGTATATACACTATATAGGCAATTACTCCGTGCAATTAGGCAGGAGGTGTTGTTTACTCGTGCCTCATTCTTCAACGCCTAGTAATAACTTCCAAACTCTACGAAGAAAAGCGATCCATTTTGTTTAGCTGTCAGAAAAATAAACATAAGTCAACATTGATCTTTTATCTTTTTTTACGGACAAATTATGATAAAATATCTTTGTTGCGTATGGATTATCTTTACGAGAGAACCGTCCCGTTTTGGGTTGGCCTTTCCGTTTCAAATAAATCACAAGTTAAGAGCGTTTATTTAAGGGAAATCAGATTTTTGGCGACTACATGATGGAAGTTTATGGATGATCAGTGGCGCTGGTGTTTGAAGACTTTGAGAGCATCATGCCAAAGATAGTCTTTGACTCAGTGTTCTCCGGTCAGGTCCTGTCTCATCGAGTTTCGATTGTACTAACTAGTTATCTATCTACTCACTTGAATCAGTGATATGTGAGTCTTATTAAACAGTCCCGCTTCAAGAGCCTTTGCGCTGCACGTACTTCCAAATCACGTCTTTGGAGAGGATTTCTCTCAAAAATTTGATCAATTGAACGAATCTCGATCGTAAATAGATAGATGATTTGTAGTTAAGACTCTTTTAAAAGAAAAAAAGGACTAAGGTATTAAGCTTCTTAAGCTAAGCAGAGATTTTGAAAATCTCAATACCACACATCTGACGATGTGATTCAGCGTGTCTGTAAGGGATTCCCGCCAATGCGGCGCCCAGTGCCACCCGCGCTGTCATGTGACGTCACCTCTGATAGCCGTTGCTATGAAACCGGAGGAAAATTGAAAAGAAGAGCAGAGGAGCACTTACGCAACTGTTTACCTTATTACTGAAACTAGATACTCAGAGGCTTGCTTACAGCCTAAATTACCATGGAAGTCTTGGAATTATCGATATATCTATCAAGGCATGAATTACTGAAAATTGATAGAAATTACTGACCACTTAGAAAACTCCTTAATGCCATAAATTTCCCTGTAATTCTGGAACAAGCAGCACTTAAGAAGCATTTTCGTAGCTTATTGATACGTCTTTTAGGCGCGGCTCTACGGTGTATTTATGAGCTGTTAGAAGGAGCATCTGAAGTGTGATGATTTCATAGAGGGGAGGAGAAAGCCATCGTGATTTCAGCACTTTCCATTTGTGCCCTTTTTGCGCGCTACTTATCGACACGAGATCCAATAGTACCTCTTATTACTTCTCACTGAGTGAAACGCTTCAAATCTGTTGAAATCAAAGCTGCATACACATTTTGATAAGGGCGCTAATAATACCCTCGTTCGCAGAAGACCAACACCACTGCCTTATGGCAGCGCGACAAAGTGTTGCTTTCCTTGGAAGTTTCCTCTCTAACGAAGTTTGTTTTGTTTTAATTTTATGATATTAGAATAAGTCGATTAATTTTACTCTTTTAAAATTGACTCATTTCAGTAATGTGGGTGGCGCTCAAATCATACTATTGTAATTGAACAAAAAGACACTTATCGGGTAATCCCGGAAACCGCTTGGATTGCTAGTTTCACCACGCGAAACAAGTTCAATGGCTCGAATTCTGCACTGTGATAAGAAAAAATCCAAAATTATTTTAATGTATCAAAAAATCAAAGCTCTTTCAAGAGTGCAGATTTGAATAACAGTACCCGCACGTCTCTTTGTTTAGCCCTAAGTGACTTTTAATTGCATCTTTTTGTTTACGATATACACACAAGCCAGGAAAATTACGGGAGAAGCTTTTCTAAACTTCCGACCCTTTGCGCAGAAATAGGAATCGTTCCATAGTTGTTGTTGTCAAATCAATTCTGTATAAGATCTGCATGGCATCTTTAATATCGGTTCCACGATTGCCGGAGAAGATTACTAGGCAAGTTTTGGTAGAAAGGTTAGAAGGTGGGTCATAAGAATCTACATAGGTCATTCTCTGACACCAGTCATTTAAACTGACAAAAACTAGGATCGTATCAGCCATTTGGACGTGTTGCAACAGTTTTCCAGTATTTGGCGTTGTATTAGGTTATAATGAATAACACCTGTGTGCTTGTGTATTGACTTGCCACTTTTCACAGGAACAAAGCAATTTTTGTGTTGGGTGATTAAAAACATAAAGAGCAAAGAATGCTGTAAAATGCCTGCTAATTAATTATCGATAATTGATAACATTCTTTAATGTCAACCTTGCTGGATAGGAAGTGGCGCCAAAGCGTACTAAAATACTATCATTAAGCATCAAAATCTTACTCTATACGRCGGTAATCGAACCTAATGCCAAAAATAAATCTTTGGCCTAACTTGGATTTTACATCGATTCTATTTAAGAAGCGTTTAGATTTGCTTCAGAATCGATTTTCACAGCTTAAATGCTATAAATATGCAATTGACGGTGCCTCATTAAGAAATTACACAGTAACTGAACTGTATATGTTTTTTGTTACCACCTTGGAGTACCTTCACGGAAACAGTGATGACGTCTGGATTGACAATGACCAATGTGGTCCCGGTCCCTTGTCTTTCTCACTTCAGTAGTTATCATTGAACATCTATTAATTTGACAAATAGCCAATCAGGGCTTCGTATCTAAATTGTGATCATTAGTTGCTAATTTCAACATAACAAAGTTGTTGCAGTTGAGTTCACAGTATCGAGCATCGTGAGACGGGGGAAGAGATTGCACTGCAGAGCAGAGTAGAGAAGAGAAGATACCATATTTCAAGACTGAAAGGATCTTAACGACAGGCAATACAAGGCAATATAATGCAGCATTGTAACTGGGACCGCAGCGTGCCCAACGTCTACACACCATCTCCCTACAACTCATCCTCGTTCTACATCGACGATATCCTCAGTAATGGATCCCAGAAGCCTCAACCTACTCTCTGTTCCTCGACGATTTGCGAACCAACAAAACCACACTGTATCTCACAACCATTCCATCTTCCAACACCGTCAAGATCGTACCCAAATCTGAATCTAAGCAGCCCATTCGTCCCGTACAATCCGCGTCCATTTGGCTTCCAACCTCAAGCATTTCAACCGCCGAGCATCCCGAGCGTTTACGAGGCATACAGCGATCATAGTAAGTGTATTTTAATAGAGAGCGATCTACGATGAGATTATTCGAGATTCATAAAAGGTTTTGGCCCACTCAGTTCATTTTGTTTTATGAGATTAAGCTTTCGGTGTGAAGTRGCGAGATGTAAAGGTATTGGAATTAAGGTTTTAAGGGATCGCTTAGCGCTGTTTGGATAAGAGAACTCAGTTAATTCAAAACACTATCATCTTTTAGATTACTTAATACAATAACTTTTTCTTTAAACCACAATCCCTCCTCTGCCTTGTGAAGTAAGTGATAAGAACATTTCAGTGGTTGAGAATTCTTGGCCTCGATTTACGACGTGTGGAAAGCCGATAACAAAATAAACGCAGTGCTCTATCACTCAGTGCAGGAATGAAGTAATCTTATTCTCAACTAAGTCTATCTTAAAGCTGTGATTTCTAAATTTCCTACACATTTACTGTCAGTACTAGAGAATCAGCGACGTGACTATACGATAAAACAGTGAGAATCCCAGCTTAGGAATCTCAGGAACTGGTTTTTACGCTTTTACACAGTTCCGAAAAGCTTGAAGTGTAAAACTTTACACTTCGTGAAAACTGGATTAGTTCTTTACGTTATCCCGTCTTACATTTGCCGCGGAAATGGCACTACACCAAGTCTCCTTTGTGGAAGTTTATCAACAAATGTTTGTTTATATTGATAGCTATCTTATTCTTTAGGTTTAATTTCTTTGTGTTTTATTTTTTTTCTTTTCCTTTGGATTTACAGGCGCTTGGAACCTCTTCCTTCCCAAACCACAAAAGAAAAAAGGTGGCCAGGTCCGATTCTCGAACGAACAAACGATGGAATTGGAAAAAATATTCGAAAATCAAAAGTACCTCTCTCCACCAGAGCGAAAACAGTTATCAAAAGTGTTAGGACTGACAGAGAGACAGGTTAAGACGTGGTTTCAAAACCGTCGGGCGAAATGGCGAAGATTCAAGCAAGAATCTCAAGGAGAGAAGTCTGACAAACAAGAGAACGAAGAAGCAACGAGGGGTACAGCAAAAGACTCTCAAACTTAACTAACAAGCCGATTTAAATGGGATTCAATTGATGCTTTCACTTTCGAGAAAGCAGTATATATTTTCTCGGTGTACATTATTTAATACAGAAAATATCTATACTGAAAACAGCCCTGCTGCTCTCTAGTCAATGAGTAGAAGATATAGAGAGTCGCAATGTAGGACACTTATTGAACATTAAAACGTTTGGTTGCACAGTAAAGTTTGCAGCCTATCATATGCCTATATAAGACGAACGAACTAGTTGTCCATTCTAAAAATCAATGCTGATAATCTAAACAAACACTCAGTCATCTTCCTTTCTCTCTCTGTCGCGGTGAGGTTAAGGCAGTTCAACACAGGTTGCTGTCTCGTATACTATCGTTTAAACACTGATAGTCGTATCTAAACCTTTGGGTTAAGCTATAAAGAGAAATAATCCTGACATATGGAGCACTTTACTTGTGGTTCATTGGCTAGCTTTGAAGAAATAACTGTTTAAACCAGTCCAATTTATGACGATAAGTTAGGTTATCCATGTAATTACCAGCAAATCGTGAATTAACGTAATTTTAATTACATCCATGTCAAATGTATGAGCATGAAAATTAAAGGCAAGCACTAAAAAAAATCTCGCTGTGGTTTAATGAAGACTTGAACTTGACTAAAGTCAAGGTTCGTTGTGTTTCGGTAGAACACTCTCTAAATGTAAGAGCTCATTAACAACAAAATAGAAACGAAGTATTACAATCCTTTCTTTTCTATTGAGGGCCTTTGTATGAAAAAACAAACTCGGATGGTCAACAAAGTTGGCTTTTGCGCACACAGAAATTCTTTTGTTTAGTTTGCATTGGGTATCGGTTTCAAGTAGCAAAACCCTTCCAAGAGAGACGGTTTGGAGCCATTGCCTTTGAGCGTTGAGTGTTTTTACATGTGTGTGGATGTGTAACAGTTCTTTGTCTATAGTTGGGATTTCTGGATAGTTTTTGAAGCGATTTAAAGGGTCTTGACAAGCTAGATAATTGCCTAAAGTTGATCTATGACACTAAACTGGACGGTTTTGATTGACATCCCCTTCTATCAAATAGCCAAGTGGGATCGGGAGTTATTGGGCGTTTAATTGCTCTGCTGGCAAGTAGTGTAGTTGCAATCATAAAGGCTAGCTGTCAGAGAATGAATGCGAGGAGACAATGCGGTACCAGAACACAATTGCCAAAGGAAACGAGAAATTATTTGTGTACTTTACATTGGTTGTATATATAATCAAGCGTGAGATTTGGATCATCGCGCAGCTCTGACTAGTATGATTTTCATGCTCAACCCATTATTCCGCAAGCTAATTGCGAGATTTAAGCCCAGGGTTGAATCAGAGGAAACGAACTAGCCGGGTAAGGCTGTGACTGAACCGGGATGGGAATCTTTAGATCTCGTCAAGAGTAGCAGTAAAGCTAAACCTGCGTCTTAATTGAACATGACAATAGACTTTATTAGTGTTTTTCTTTACAATCTAGGTGTGAACCAAATGCCTATCAAAATCAATCTATAAAACACTGGCATTCACTTAAAGGCAGTCAGCTATTTTAGATAGTAGTTGTGAAATACCAAATGGCTTTGTAGAAATTTCCCAAACAATCCTGCAAGCCACCCCCCACAAATCCAGCTCACTTGCATGGCCATTGTAGTGGCGTTTCATCTTTATCAATTAACTAATTTTCTCTTTGTTCTGTCAAGCGTGCACCAATGTTTTCCCAAAACCCAAGACAATAAATCGATTCTCTTCAATTTAAGAACAATTAATTTAACATTACTGTAACTTGAGTTTGTTCACCTTCACTAAGCAATGAAATAATTACCACGTAACTGGGAGCAATGAAAAATGAAGCGACTGTAAAGTTGGTCACTTAACAGCGCGGGATCCAAAAACTATCATGCACAAATGTTTTAAATCTAGATTAGTATTTACTTTTCCAAGTTTTTTTTCTTTGGAATCAGTGATGTCGTATACTTTTTAATCCATGAAACTGGTATACAATTTCAGAAGCAAACCTTATCAATGCGACACACTTTTCCTAGTTTTTTTCTTGGGAATAATGGAAGGAATAATTAATGATGTTGTATGCTTTCTAATCCATGAAATTGGTACGCATTTTTAGGAGAACAACCCTTATCAATGCAACACAATTCAAACGAGAGCGCTTCTTTTAGGACCCTTTTAAAGTTTTTTAAAGGATATTAAAATATCTTTTTAGTGCCTACTTAGGGAGACTATAAAGGATCCCAATCAACCTTTTCGTTGTTTAAACGCTTTATAAAATCTTAAGAGAGCGAACTAAAAGCCTATTACTGATCTTGAGTTTACGTAGCTTTTAGGGCTTGTGATAGGTATTGATTACAGAACGAGTYTTAGAGGTTTTATTACGATCATTTCTGGTTGCCAATGAATACTAAAGCATCAGTGGCCTGTTTTCATTCTTTTTTTAAAAAGAACTGCGGTCCCTGGCCCCCACTATAGTCCGCAGAGCCATTTGTCACTTCTTCCGGTTGTGTAGATAGTGAACAAGTGCCTGACCAGCTGTTACACATGGATCAACAATGAGTCCATCAGACACTTTCCTTATTAAGCACTTCTTTCGTAATTGTGAGGCTCTTTTTAAAAGGGAATTAAGAATAGGCAAATAGTTTTTCTTTTGACCATTGAGGGCTCTGTTTTCTGGTCTTAATCCGATCAGTTTGAACCACTGGCAGATGCATTTTAATTCTCGCAATCAAGAATCGATTTATTAAATAAACGGTGTTACATTTGCGTCGATTTTTTATATTTTCCAACCTTTTCCTCATCAGTCTTCGCAAAATAAAAAAAGTAAAAAAATAAATCGTTCAGAATTTTCTCCTTAGTTCTTTTTCGTGTTGTCCAATTTATATATGAACTGGGAAATGGATCGTTTTTAAAAGGCGTACAAATAATGGGTTATTACGACCGCTATGAAACCAAACAGTCACTCCTTTGCATGGATTCTATTTCAAATTATTTTTGACGAGCAAGTCTAATTAAAAATCATTTCCGATTCAAGGGATTTACTATGTACACTAAAAAAGGGACTCAGTATTTTAGTTTTCGATTCTTTAAAATCCGAGTCAAGATATTCAAAGATTTATCTTTCGTTTATATTGTAACCAAATTTCTCTCCTAAAAATCAATTTATCAATACGGTTGTCATTTCTGGATTTATCTGAGATTTGTGCATGTGTTTTAGTCTGTGTTCACTGATACAAACACACGCATGTATTCACGACATTTTATTGGATTGAAAATAATGTTTATTTTTCATTTATTTTGTAAGTTATAATAGAGTTTAGTCCTCTATCTAAAGGGCACTCGCCGAAGGACCTTGAAGCAGTGACTCGAAGCAGTCGTTCTATTGAGATCTTTTATTGTCACATACAAAACACTTTGCCTGGGCTAGTGTTAATTAAATGAAAACCTACTGGTAAATGATTGTGCTATAGACAACGGCACAACTGTTTTTCAAACGTCTATTTAAAATTAGAAGATCGGTTTTTGATTGGTATGGCTATGACATTGTGAATGACTTGTAAAGACAAACTGTGTTGATGAAATAAAGACTGAAATAAGCCCTTAGAACAGATTTGTGTATATGTATCATTGTTAAGAGTAGTCCATGATATATCCATCTGCCTGCCATATGGACTCTCCATCTGTCGTAAGAGGCGAGTTTTATGAACGCCCATTTCTGGCCAACAAAATTCAAATCACCAACACACTGAGTACGTCAATCTAAGTACATTTTAATTGCTTTAATCAAGTTAATTATTCCTAATATTCATTTCTAAAGAAATTGTAACACATTTGTTTAATATTTTCAACATAAGATTTATTTCAAAGTGAGATAAAAATTATTTTTTATTTCAGAGAGAAGTTTGTTTAAACCGATATTTTATGCTTTTCTAATGTTTATATTTCAATTCACTCTGTCCTTAGCTTTATCTTGCTTCAATTAGTAGAAAAAGTTGAACAAGGAGAAGTACAAATATACTCTTATGAAGGAGATAGCTTGTAAGTCCAGTAAGTGCCATCGATTTTGATTCAATAACTTTTAATAAAGACAAGAATCATTTAGCATTAAAACTCAAAGTATATTTTGCCGTATACTTGAAGTTTTTATTGTTGTACATATGGTATTTCCTTTTCTAAATCTAGAATTTAACAACTATAAATAACTACAAGCTTCTGTTTCCCAAAATTCCTAAATTGTTAAATATCTTGTCTCTAAGAATCCAATCAAGTACCGTGCACTGGAAGAAGACTGGAATGCTCTCAGAATTCTTTATCAATACTAAAATCAGTTTTACTTTTTAAGCTATTAGAAGTACGTATTATTATTTCATTTTTGTCTACAAAGTGGTTTTCATATTTTTACTATTGAACTTTTAAAAGTAACTTGATAACCATCAAAAGTAATTTTCATCGCTTATAGAATTAAAACTCCTAAGTTGTTATTGTAAATAGATGTTTGGGGTCTAATACAGCTGACAGTGGGAGAGAAATCAGTCAATAAATCGTTCCAAGTTATTTAGAGTTAATAGGAAAATGGATTTCTATCGATTTTTGATATGTTGATCAGTCATAACAAGTGATGAAACTTTTATTAGAAAGAACTGCGAATTAGGAATAAAATAAACTCAAAGAGAGAGAGAGAGAGAGAGAGAGAGAGATGAAAAAAGAAAGAAAGAAAGAAAAGAAAAAGAATCAATTCCTACATTTTATATCTACAATATCCAAAAAATATATTCTCTCAGGTTTTGTACGCAAATTAAAAACAAAAAATAAAATGAAATAAAATGATTTTTTCCCTCTCGATCAGACAAAGGGTCAGACCGACCATTACAGGCTTTCGAGGAATTACCAACTGAAATACCAATACCCATTCTACTTAAATATCGCACTATGAGAGAATAAATAAATTTAAGCAGCTCTAGATATGGCAAGATTACGACTATTTTTTAAAAACATGCTGTTTTTTACAATTAATTTCCCATTATATTACACAATGTTTTTAGTTTAAAGAATTTGAAAACTCCCTTTTTGGCGTCTTGTGCCGAGTGATAAGACCATTTTAAGTAATTTTCGTACTCTTCTTTTACGAATAGAAGTACGTTTTGAGTACGACGTGCTTCTAAAGAACATTTTTCCTAAAGATATGTACTAAATGAATAGCTCAAAATTAAATTTGTTTCGATATCCAATAGTCTAGATTAGGTAGTCACACTGTTTCAACATCTTCGAAATGTTTTTTCGTCCTTCCAAGTCACTTTATAAGTTTGGTTTGCTATAAATTCTGTATATCCTCAAAAGTACTCTAAATTGCTCTAAAATGATATCAATTTGAAGAATGTATAAATAAAAATATGGATTTTTCTGAACTT